GAGGGTTTACTGCAATTTACATTATTTAATATTATAATTCTTAGTTCAAGTAATACTATTAAAATAACTATATTATTTTTACACTATAAAGTACTTATCTAATTTAATTTTTTAATTATGTACTTAAATTATTTAATGTTATAAACATTTTATAATTTTTTAAACTATCATTAATAATTATAGTAGTATTGTTAATATCAAATAATTTTTTTGAAATGTTAGTTTTCAATAATTACTAAGTATAGATTGTTCGGTATCATGTAATAATCTTTGAGCAAATACTCAAAAAGTAATATTAAATTATTTATTCAATTTATATAATAATATAATACTAAATAAATAGTATAATTCATAATTTATGTGATATTATTAAAATAATTACACTATTTATGTAATTAAATATTTATTCTATTTATTTTATTGATCATTGAATTATAGTATAATTCCTAATAGTATTTAGTAATATATTATTCTTTTAATTATTTTATTATAATTTATAAATGATTACTATAATAATTTAAGTTAATTGGTTACTACTAATAATTGTGTATACTTATTTTATAAATTATTTTATTATATTGTTTTTAAAAATTAATAGTTATAATATTATTGATAATTATAATTATTTAGGAAGATGAGAATGTTCATAATTAATAAGAAGTTATATTTATTTAGTGATTGATTAATTAGAGATAATGACATAGTTAGAATTTATCAAAATTTGAGAGGGTAAAAAAATTAAAAGTTTTAACACCCCAGTCCTCCTTTTATAATAGTATAAATAAAAATATAGATTATCATATAATCAAATTTAGTATTAGTATAATTGTTATCTCTCTAAATTTTAGGAGCTGTTTGGTTGATTTCTTTACAAAGGGCAAAAAATAATTTTTAACAAAAAAGCCTCAACCCACACGAACTTGTCGGGCTTCGTCGTACTTTGGCTCAAATTTCACTTAAATGGGTTCAAAACTTTTAGGGACACTTTTCTCCACTTTTTTGTCAGATTTTTTTTGTGTATCCAACCACACAGTAAAAATAAAAACGAAGACGAAAAATAGGTTTAGATAAAATACTAAAACCATTTTACCTTTTTTTTCACTCCAACCAAATAGCCCCTTATAGGTAATGTAGCGAACACTAATAGATCATCAACTTGCACCTACAGCAAATGGGAATATATGCATCATATATGTGCTATATTAGATATATATCTCCTTTTTGTACATTGAAATTAACAATCTATCAATCTAATTCTTTGCTATCAGTTGTACAAGCATCATTGTTATGACATATAATGACCTAAATGTTAATCTTCCCCCACAAGTCGGCATATGTCTCAAATTGGCTCGATATCATCTCGAATCGACCCTAGGCGGGGCGAGTCCAGTAACATCTTCACTCGGCCCTTAATAAGAGGGGTCCAAGTCAAAAGGCGTCATTTGTCAACCCACTCGAAAAGCCAAATCAAGAGGCAGTTTATCCTCAAGCTCCCCCCAGATAGCCAATCACTGTCACATTGAATGCATGGTCGGAATCATCATTGCTCCAGCCCCCAAAATCTTCATGACTCATCGCCCTTTGTCAGCATCATGTCTCCCTAGTCACAATCACATTAAACACATAGATGACTCATCTCCTCTACAGCTAACACCTATAGAGTATTTGGCGACTCAGTTGCTTGCCTAGACTCGGCCAAAGTTACATAAACCCCCCCCCCCCATCAGCCGGGTATAAATAAGCACACTACCTACTGACCACACAAATGCAATTTCTGCACACTAAAGGAGAATTATATCAGTTCTTTGATCCCCTTCAAATCGAAACTGACTTAATCGTCAGAGGAATCATCAGAAAAACTCAACTCCGCTCCTCTAATATGTTGTAGTTTTGTAGGACTCTCTTCCATCGGGGAATCAACCATCAAAGAAGGTCGTCAAGTTACCCTAATAAGCTCGTCAGATCAGCCCTAAACCCCCTGTTGAGAACCTCGCCATCAACAAACATCAATGGTAGTTTGTACAAATAATAGATAGCAATATATGCATCAAATTCGTGATAAATCTCGTTTACCTCTATAATTTTGCGTGGAGGGCACCCCGTATAAAAAAACTTTCTTTTCCCCACGGGAGCGTGGGGGGCGAACAAAAAAGCAAATCCAGCCGGGCGACACGCCAGCAAGGGACACGTGTCGATTTCTCCATCAACCGACCGTTTTCATGTCAGTCCCTACTCCCCTCGACCCCCCCCCCCCCCCCTCAACGTGTCTGTATTCTCTGTCCCGACCCGTAGACGCTTCCTCATTGGCCAACTGTTTCCGATAACTGCTTTAAACAACTCTCACCCATTTATGTACCTCCACGTGTCCCCTTCAAATCTGGGGCTAGATCGCGGGCCCCTAATATGGGCGGCCAGATTGATGACGCGTAACAGGAACAGGTTCTATGGACCTCTTTACGTATTCACCCTCCGCTTATTTGCCAATTTAGCTCCAAAATCTCGATCACGTAGAAAAGGGGAGGGAAAACAATTGCTGCCAGTTTTTTGCTCTTCCTAACTAAGTATGTGTTACAACATTACGTACATTTAATATGTATAATTGTGATTCTTTTTATTTTTTTTTTCATATTTACCCTTTGGCTATTAATTACCATTGCAGCGCAATCCACTCAAGCACCTGTAATGAAATTTAGATGCAAACGAAGATACGAGTCCGTCTAGCGTCTGCACACCATAGTGATGCTGTTATTGCCGTTCTAGTGATAAAAAATAATCTCTAATCAATGAAAGACAAGCGTCTCACGTTATGCATAATCAAGTCAGCACCTCAAGACAACTAGAGGCTCCACTCGGTCGACTCGACGCGACGAGATCTTGCTAGGACGACCCGAAAGACGTTATGTGACGACTTGAAAGACTAGACATTTTGAAAATTGGAGGACCTCCGTCAACCTAATCTACTTTCATTTGACCGTGTGATTACATACACCAACAGATATATCTCGAATGGAAAGATTTTAGGGGACATCAGCAAAGATGAAGAATTAGGGAGCAAATAAGAAGCATCTATGGAGGGTGGGGGGAGTAGCTATGCGAATAAGTATACTAGGAGGGCATATATGCAAAAGAAACAGCAATAGTTCAATACGAGGTTAACGTACTCTCTGAAGGCGCGGGCCCCTCCATAACGCGCCACGTGCCCCCCAAAGCATCTACGTGTTGACACTCCGAGAGCAGAAATCTGGATGAACGGCCGAGATCCGCCGTTGCCGGGAACAACTCAGCGTCAGGGACGGGCTGTACATGTCGGGGGCCTCTGCCCGTGACGGTGACGGGCAGCTGCCCGCTCAAATAATAAACCTCCCCTCCCTCTTTATAAAATCCCTGCAACAATTTCCATCGCTCCCACAAAAATATTCCGATATTTTTTCCCCTTCTCTCCCTCTCTCTCTCTCTTCTTGTTTGATTCATGGCGGAGATTTGTTTGGAATCCAGCGAGGCGTGTGAGTCGAGCCCCCGTTCGGCGAGGCGGCGGAGGATGGAGATCGGCTCGTTCAAGTTCGTCGGGCGGAGCGAGTTCCATGGCGTCCTCTGGCGAGCTAGAAGGAAGAAGACGGGACCGGGATCAGGATCAGATCGAGAAAAGCTCGGGAACGAGTCGAGCTCGATCTTGGGAGACGGCGATCGAATCGGGGGGGCGTTTAGAAGGAGCCCGCCGCGGTACGGGATGACGTCGGTATCGGGCGGAGGAGAGGACATGGAGGACGCGGTGTCGGTTCGCCGAGTCGCATTCTCTTGAAAGGATCGGATAAGCATCATTTCTTCGGGGTTGTTCGATGGCATGGCTGCTCTCCACGTAAAGATGATTCCATATTTTTGATCTCTCAAATAAAAAGGTTTCTGAAGGTTGGGTTTCTCTGAATTGTCGTCGAGGTCTAATTTGATTGAGCTTGCAGGGTGGCGGCCTCGTGTAGGCGATCGTATGCACGAATTTCGTGGCATTCGGATGCGTCGAGAAATCGGAACCAGCGGTTTCCGTAAGTGGAAGAGGTGATGGAGAAGGTGTTTCTCGGCGATGGATGAGGAGTCGTGGCGGCGGGGCCCGACGGGGCGGCCAGCTCCAGCTGCCGCTCTGCGAGCTGCAGACGCCCAAGTGCGATCACGTGGGGGTCCACCGCCGTGGTGGCGTTGTCAGCTCGCAGAGATCGTTGTCGCTAATTGCGGCCGACTCTTGGGCCGGTGCCTCGGCGAATGGCGCCGTCGTCCCTCCTCTCTGTCGATACAAGTGTAAGAAAAAATAAGTCTAAACAAACCGAGAAATCGGAACTGGTAAAAAAAATATAATCTAAGATGATTTATATGTAAACTAAGGAGCTGTCTTAAAAATTTTTTGCAGCCAGATCGGCTCCGACGAGTTGCAACGCGATTGAGGCGGCAGGTCGGCCCGAGTAATCTACTGGACGGCCGCCAGAGTTTCTCGGTGTCCTCGCCATGTCCGCGCGCCATCCGATGACAGTTATCTCAAGCCCTTCGTCATCTCCGAACCGGAGATAACAGTGACCGAGAGAACCGACGAAGACGAGTGCTTGATCCTGGCGAGTGACGGGCTGTGGGACGTCGTCAGCAACGAGACCGCCTGTGACGTCGTTAGGATGTGCCTGCGGGGCGACGGACGCGATAAGGCATGCTCCGACGCGGCCATGTTGTTGACGAAGCTGGCGTTGGCGAGGCAGAGTGCTGATAATGTCAGCGTCGTCGTCGTTGATTTGAGGAGGAACTTGTTGTAGCCGAGGGTTTTATGTTGTAGGTTGTTTTTAGTGGAGTGGCTTAATTTGTCTTTTTTTCCGGCTGCTTATATAGAGTGTTATTATTAAATCTGAAACCTAATTGTAAATGTAACAAAAAAAAAGGAGGAAGAATAAAAGATCATTATGAACCCGCATTCTTCGTAATGGGATGACATTTATTAGTCTGGATCTGTCAAATGCAAACTTACAACAAATCACACACCCTTGCAATCACATTATATCTCTTATTCGAAATTAAGCAAGGTACGAGAGTACATCATCAGCCTTCTCAATTCTCACACATAATTGGGCAGAGCATAAATATAGCCTCCCTGTCCCTTTATAAAGTCCACGAGAAAGCTTACACAAGCCGGACAACACATGTTAAGCCCATAATATGATTCTAGGAATTATACATCCCTTAGTATTATATAACCTGAACACATTTATGAGGACATACAAAGACTCTTTCGAGATGCTATGCTCCTCAGAAATCTTTGCCATTCTTGCCCTCCAGGGCCTTCTGCTTCCAGTAATCTCTATCGGTGCCGAATAACCTGATGAAGGTAAAATTAGATCGAATCGTACGAGAAAGGTATTCATGCTATATTGGGTTTTTACGATGAAACAAATAAAACACCAGCATGTACACAGAAACGTAAACTGGTTTTTGCAATGAAAGCTCATTTTGGAAATGTACGAGCGCAACGTGCCAGTAATGTCTAAATAAAATAAGAGCACTATAACTATAAGATAATAAAATGTAGATCCATGGACATCCATGATGGTCATTGGTCATATGCTTGCAAGCATGTTATTCAACTGGAGAGATGGGGGTCACTTTAATGAGGATTTAGTCTTACGAGAACATTGTGTCTTATTAAACAAGCAATTCTAGAAAGGTTATGTGTGGTATCTTAGCTGAATATTCTGTCTTGATCAAGTAGTTGATGACAGATTATACGTGGGGACTGCACCTCATAGATCAAGCATTAGGCCTATGCTCAATAAGAGGAATGGTGCCAGCATGCAAACATGTTGGCTCCCACATTTCCGCATGAGGATACCATGTAAAATATTTTAGGCTTTTTCAGCTATGCCCAAGCCTAGCATATGTCAGACAAGACTAACCCACAACTCATCAAGTTTAAGCATTCGAATGAAAATGGTTATCCACATTATGCATGTGCAAGCTAATTCGTTGTGTGTATATATATGGGTATATGTGGGACTAGGCGATTTGAGGCGATAGTTAACGTATTGAATTTATTGGTCAAGACTGGACGAGGCAACTTCCAAAAACTTCATAACCATTTCACATTCAGATGTCAAACTCCCACCTCCAAACATTTAAGACAAAGAAATCTAAAGAACTTAGGAAGTTGAAGATAATGTGTATTAACGTTTTTAATCTATCTAGAGATCTAGACTCTAGGCAAAAAAAAACTTTTCTTGCGATAATGTACTAACTGCTCCCTTTAGACCAAATAAGGAAATTTTTGAAATCAACTGCTGACAGCTTTTTCGTTGCATTTTCTTCTTACTATATAATAAACAAATAAATAAACAAATATTTAATATAATTTATGATTATAATACATGAAAGATTTATTTTACAAGTAGCATTCCTTTACAAGTTCATATATGTAATGGTTATGCCTACGTATTCATACTTATAGCAGTAGTTTGAAGAAAGGAAGTTAGCCAGAATAGGGATTTAGTTTCAAAATTGTTGGGGCCGCAAAAAAAAGAGACCGAGCTTATGTTTTGTAGCATATATAATGCACTTGCATATGAGGACAATAAAGTGTTGTTTATATACCTTATGGCTGGCAACAGTATAAATATATGGGTATAAGGCCAAAACACGATCCTACACAAAAAAAATGACAAGATATTCATTAGCTTAGACCTCTTATACTAGACAGCTGTTTGTCCTTGAAGGGATAAGCCATGCCTTACTTCACTGTGTGTAGCTGTACCTGTTTCTTATACCCAAATGCATTACACCCTGGCAGCATAACTTTTCTTATATCTGAAACTGTGTATACTTTTTATAAGTTTCGATGAAATTTCTTATAGAATTGAGGCACGCCGAGTAATATTTGCATCTAATACATGCTATCATGCTAGCACCGTCATGATGTTACTCTGTGAAACTGTAAATTCTATCTTAAGCCAATAATCATTTTATATACTGATAAGGCAGTAAATAAGAGTCAGCAAGCCTATAGATAAGTTAACTCACTATCTAACAGGAACATTTTCTTCTGGCATGTTTCCCATCTACCCAGGAGATATCACTTATCAGCATGAACAAATTGCTTAAACGAAAAATTCAATTGATAGTATATGAAACAGAATGAATATCTTCATACTTACCAATCCATGTAAGTAAAAGTTGATGAGTAATTTCCAGACTGGGTGTAAAGCACACGATGATGAAAATCATGAAATTCAGCACTGCAGATAGCAGCTATAAGGTGTCAAATGATGAACAAACACAGAATGATAGTGGCATAAAAAAACAGAACAAAAAAGTATTGTGATACTTAAGACTCACCCTCCATACAACGGCAGAAACTTTGAAGGGCTCCATGGAAAATCATAGCCAGAATGAGCCTCCACTGTCTCTATGACTCTCAGTGACATCCATAACCAAAGAGTGAATAGATGAGGACCAGTCAGGGCAGGACCAAGCACGGTACCAAATCCAAGCATCAATATCTCAGCAGGATGAGCATACTCAGAAGTCAAACCAAATGGGGTAGCATATCTGCACGTAATTAATTTCATAGATGAAGTATTATTATATTAATCAAGCCTTAAACATAAATGCTGAAAGGATTTGCTAAAGCAACGTAGCTTACTCATGATGAACGCTGTGGACATGCTGGTACAACCATTTTGTGTGTAGCATCCTGTGTCCCCAGTAGAACACAAAGTCTTCCAAAATGAAGTAGAAAATAACTTGTGATAAGACAACAGGCCTACGGAACAATATAGTTGACAATTAATTCCGATATATTACTAGAATGTTGGTGATAAATGGACAAGCCTATTCCTTCTTGCTTTCTTTTGCTTTTTTCCCCTTTGTTTCTTCTGAATGGTGAGATTCAACTAAAATTCACTTTAAGTACATTGTATAACTATAACTAGCACCCTTCAGGTGCTTTTAGCAAACGACGTGATTCAATCAACTGAAATCTCTCCAAAAACATTGGTCTATTTTTGTGTATCTAAAAACATGGTCTCTTGCTTCTGATATATTGCTCTTATAAAAATTAAGCTCCGCATATAAGAAAACCTAAATTTACCAGGGTGGCAGTGGAAGACTGCTCTTCAGGCCCATGTATCTGAATGCTGGATATGAAAGTACCATAATCGGCAAGTTCACAAAAACATGGTACAGGACAAGTTTCACGATGCATCTCCATTGAGCAGCTGGGGTGTTGACTTTTTTCTGCAGGACGCATATTAGTTTAGACCTTTGTTTCAAAACAGGATAATAGTAAATATGATGCACAAAAGAACTACATTGAGAAGAACAGATGAATGTGTTAATACATAAGCATCCAGCAGAAAGAATATACACAATGGTAATTACAATAAAAAATTTTCCAAAGATCATCATGTAAAACACTACTGATAATGCTATTAAAAAAGAAGAATAGATGGGAGGACACAAATTGGGATGTCCTGCTGTAGGGGGTATAAGAACCCTTTTTGTTCCATCACTAAACTGGTTTCTGAAAAGTTAGTCAAAGGGTTGGAGGCTTGGTTCTCAAGACGCGCAATCTTCCAGTAGCCCAGATTAGATTAAAAACTTACCATCCCATGACTGGACCAACAGAGAACAACAAGACAAAATGTGATGTCATTCAAGCATCTACCATTGTTACCTTCAAATACTGAAGAGGAGTAAATTTGTCTTTATATGATAATCATGGATTCAAAATTCATTTATGTAGTGAATAACCTTCCAGCTGTATGTGCCCCCACCCCCCCCCCCCACACACACACACACACACACAATGAAAAACCCCTTTTGTCTCGTCATTTAATTCATTCGTCTTGATTCAAGTATGTATGCTCAGTTTTTTTGGTTCTGATATTACTTTTTTGTTGGGGGATCAAGAACCCTCAATCCGTAGAACAACTTAAGATCAAATAAAAAGCACAACAATACGTTGTCTAGCTATGCCTATGCAATAGGGCAATTTATATGTAACTTTTAGTTTACTATACTATGCCACTTAACTCCTTGAACAAATGATTAAAAATTGAACAACCCCCACCCCATAAAAGAGGAAGAAGAAGAAAAGTTTGATATGCTAATTATGTTATGCATATTCCAAAGAAACTAGAAAAAGCAGGTGTATGAGACCAAAAAAAAACTAAATCTTCACACAATCTAAGTTAGACTGAATTAAAGATGAATAAACAGAAGAACATAGATTTCTATGCCATTTGCCCAATCGCAAGCCTACTCCATGAAAGATGCATAAGAATTTTCAGTAAAATTATGGAGAACACAAGATAGTAACTGAAGCAACTTCATAATTCCTCACTTGTCTCAACCTCTCATATATCTTACAAGAGTGGAAGCTATCTTATATCATATTATGAGGGAGAACATTAGCTCATATCATGGGAAACCCAGGAGAGTTTCCAACATAATGATGGAGAACATGATATTGTAAGAGAACCTTCTTAACCTCTCTCACTTATGTCAACCTCTCATGGCATCTCATGAGATGGAAACCATCTCTTACCCAGAACTATTAGAATATATTCAACTGAATAGTGCTGAAACGATACCCCACAGTTAATGACAGTCCATATGCTAGAAACACTATCCAACATTTAAATCAAAGCCCACATTAACGGGTAAACATGGGTCAAATAGTCCAAAGCCAAGGCTCTCATGATCCAGAGAAAGCAACTTTGCACAGAGATCAATTACAAAACTTACTGACACCAAAATACATGCAAGACAAAGCCAAGATAAGGGTATAAAAGAAAAGGGTAAATAGAAGAGAATTACCATCTAGATATAGTAAGTAAAAGCTTTATTTGAGTAATTAAACATCTAATTAAGCACACGGGGCCTTCGTGAACAGAAACAAACTCAAGATGGTATGCAATTACGTTTTTATGCATAAAAATTATAAGAAATCCAGAACATATAAGTAACTAAAACTGCAAGCTAAGTAACTTTGTCTGACAAACCTGAATTTTGTATTCGCTGAAAAGCCCAGATCTTTCAAGGAAGATAGACGGGATTCCAGACAGGAAAAAGACACTCTCATGTATTATGAATGTGCCAAAGGTAGCCAATTGAAAATCACTAAAATTTGTAGTCAGGTACTGCATTAGGGGAAAAAGCAGTTAGATGAAAATATTTACAGTAACAATTCATATCAGTCAAAATAACTCAAACACAAATTGAACGCAAAAACGGTGTGGACATCTCATAACTAGGAAGGGGACATTGTATAAACTTTGTATTAAATCAGTTATCTTTCCTCGAACCCATCTCAACGAAATCAACGACAATGACTTTTGCACCTATTTCTCCAAATACTGTTTGCAAATTGCCATGGTTTCTAACTTTGCTATGTTTTAAAAAAATATATGTATCACTGAAAAACAAGGGAAGGAAAATGAGGGCCACAACAGAAGGAAACAAAGGATCAGCCTCCCACATGAAGTATGAACCAAGCCACTTGCAGCCTATAAAGAATTAGCAGCTATCTCAAAGACAAGCATGACATGTTGGATGAAAGAGAAAAAAGAAACGGCAGATGAAAAAGACACATTCAACATTCATAAATTAGCTGAAGAATGAATAAATTAGGGTCGAAAAACAATGGGCATGTTAGTTAGCTAGAGCATCAACTAAAGGAGTAAGTGGGTCGCATCTTAACCGGTGTTCATCGATTGGAAAATTTTCCTTTATGGTGTGTTTGGGAGTTTACTTAGGGAAGGGAAGGAAGGGGAAGGAAGGGGAATTTTTCCCCTTCCTTCCCTTTCCCTCCATTACACCCCAATTTGGGGTGTAAGAATTTGGGCCAAATTTCCCCTCCATTCCCCTCCTCTACCCTCCAAAATAAAACTATGTTATTGGGTGATTAGGGTCCATTTTTTTCAATTAATCTAATCATAGATTCTAAAGTTCGCCACGAATTGAGGAAATCAACTGGAATATAGGTTGTTTAGTTGTCACTTCTGGACCAAAGTTTCAAGAATTATATTTTAAGAAAAAAAAAGCAGCTGAAGAGTCTGATTGGTTCAAAATACAGTCAACTCTGACTTGTTTCTAGCCCAAAGGATCTCTCATGGTTGCAGAACAACTTTTTATACAAAAAAAATAAATAAAAATTATGCATGTCAAGGAAGTAGAATCCAAACACGCAATTGAAGTCGTAAAATTCTCACCCAAAGGAAGGAATATTGTGAGGTTTACAAAATCCAAGGCAAAAATTTCCCAATTATCCAAAAGAAAGGCCTAAAAGCTACGAATATATACCACACCAAAAAAAAAAAAAATTTGTGAACAATGTTAGCATCCACGTGCGCCTCACGTGCCAAACTCTTAAGTTACTGTTTTAGGGTTTGCAACCAGTAGATGCAAAACAAGCATCAAACAAACCCTCGTTGCTCATTTCTAACCCCTGCCTTCGAGATTCAACAACCATAAGCTCAGAAACGAAAGCAGATCGAGGAAAGGAAATGGGAGCCCGACAGGGTTTCGCAAAATCGGAGAGATTACCTGCCAGCCCGATTCGAGAAGGGACGCCATGACGCGATCGGGAGATCCCGATCTCTTCTCAAACGAGAGAGGGGTCTCCTCCGAGAGGGAGAGGGAGAGGGAGAGAGGGGGGAGAAAAAAGAACGAATCTTTGGGAACAGCGAACGCGGATTTTATACAAATGGAGACAAATGAGAGCGAATCCTCGTGGGGAGCGGGCTTCGTTTTTTAAAGGGAAAATGGCACAAATACCCTATTATTTTATTTCCCCACGGTTGTACTTAAACTACTCTTTTTTAAGTTATAAAATACTACTTAGTATTTAGACCCGTGCAAAGCACGGTTCCAAAATGATTTTTCTGCAAATATTAAACATGTTACAAAAGTAAAGTATTCTGTTTTAGATATAAAGTATAGTGGTGAAAGTGAACCGAATAATTAATAATCATTTTGGTTATTATTTGTCCAGATATTTGATCAAGTTCGATTCAATAACTACTTCATTAACCAAATTTCTAAAGATCAAATAACTACTCAAAACTGAAACCGAAATAGCACAATAAAGATCAATTTTTTAAGTGCATAAATGTGTGAAAATATTTATCTAAAATTTAAATATAAAAGGTGAAATAAAGTTACTGTTTCATAAATGTGATAAACCGAGTTGACACTCCGATTCGATCCATCCATCATTATCTCTGACGTAATCAATCTCCAATCCCTAACCCACGAACAAACAAAACCCATTAAAACTTAGCAACCAAATCTCCAATCCCTAACCCACGAACAAACAAAACCCATTAAAACTTAGCAACCAAATCTTCATTAAAAAAAGCAAAAAAGATTAACTAAATCAAATTTAAAAACCCATTAAAACTTAGCAACCAAATCTTCATTAAAAAAAGCAAAAAAGATTAACTAAATCAAATTTAAACATAAGGGTTAGCATCTTCAGAGTTAGGCACTATGAAGATTAACTAAATCAAATTTAATCATTATAAATAGAAATTAGCATCTTCACCATGCTAAAAGAAGTAACAAAATAATCCAAAAAACAACAATCTGAGGCGCAAAAAATTAGAATTTAGATCAAATTCATCACCATGATTTGTATATCAATCAATTCCTCTAGAAACTAACTAAAAAACTTCTTATGCAGAAAATCCTCACAAAAAAAGTTACAAAATCCTCGATTGGAGATCACTGAGAGGTTGAGATGGTTAAGAGTAGTTAGTGGCCCTCAACCTTTAATAATTGCTACCTCTGAGTGTGCAAAAAGTTACAAAATGCCTTTAAAAGAAGATAACAAAAAGGATATAAAAGGGAAGCTTCACGGATATTCCATGAAAATGAAAACATATATATATATATATATATATATATATATATTGAGATTAATTCAATGTATATTTGTGAATATATGAGTGCAAATGCACAAAACATGCACGAAGAGAAATATAGAAAAGTGACCACTTAAGAGTTTATATATTTTACATACTGATACACTTTGAATATGGAATAACTCAAAAAACCAAAGTTGTAGGTATCTTCAACATATTTCCAACAAATCTTAATTCACCTAATTCCGAGATCGTACGAGAAAGTTACAGCCAAAATATCAAAGGTTATTTTCCTAGTCAGACTAGGTTTCCTGGTTCGGATCAAATGGGTTTATTTTGGGTTTGCATTTATATATACATGTGTTTTTTACAAAAATTATCATCTTTTTATCAGAGTTTCAAACCCTAGTAGTCCCTCTTCCTCTCTCTCAAATCCTAGCCCTAAAGTTGAGATTTTGGGAGCGTCTTGTGAGGTGAGAAGCGAGGAAAAGGCGAGATCTACGACATTTGGCTAGGAGGAGTCGTTTTACATCAGTTTTAGAGGCTTGTACACGTGATAAGATAAGATCATCTGCATCCAAACTCATCCTTATAGTGTTTAATAATTATAGAAATATTTAATCAATATTTTTATGCTTAAGGCTTAACCTAATATGAAAAAGATGAGATTTTTGATGATAAATCTTAACCCAATGCTAGATTATTAGCTTTTCCTAATTATTTATGATAGTAACGTGATCATGATCATTATGGGTAATTAAAATTTTTTTTTAAGCTTGATAATTATGTTTAACTCGTGTGTTAACACTAATTTGTTGTCTAATTGAATTATAAAGAGGTTTAGTTTTTTTTCATCATAGATTGCAGAAAAATGTTGCACGTGTATAACATTTAACTAAAAATTTGAGATATCATATAAACTCCAAACTGAACAAAACCAGTGTCAAATGAAAGCTATATGAACCTATTTTCCAAAACAAAACCATTCTAAGAAAGAGTTTTTATAGAGAAAGATATGCTCAATTTACTAATGACATGTTCTGCAGAAAACTATTGCACATGTGTAACCTTTAACTAGAAATTTAAGATATCATATAAACTCAAAACTGAACTAAACTAGTGCCAAATGATAGCTATGTGGATCTAGTTTCTAAATTAGAAAACTATTCTTAAAAAGAATTTGTTTAGAGAAAGAAATGCTTAATTTGCTAATGATATATTCTGCAAAAAACTACAGATATGCTAATTTAAAATAATTAATATATTATGTGAATGTTTCTTTAAGTTTTCATGTTAATTAATCATGTTTAAACCCTACGTTTATGATACCTAAATAAGATAAACATGTTTAAATGAATTTTACCTCTGTTCATGAGTAATTTTTATCATGTATTGATAATCATTTTGCTTACATATGAGATAATTGAAGAAATTATTTTATTAGGATGTTAAACCCTAATTTGGAAGATATAATAATTTAATTTAATGATTCAGATAATTCGTGTTGTATATGCCAAGTATAAAATCTCGTTTTAACGTCGTGATATGTACAATTGACATAAGTACTATTTGTGCACGAAAAAATGTGTGTCTTGACAGAGTAGTCGACTACTAAGCTTAGTAGTCGGCTACTCGTACACAGTTAAGCATAACAGAAACTATGTGTTTACAGAGTAGTCGACTAATGTTCTTAATAGTTAACTACTGATACTGATATATGTTATTACAGAGTCTGGATGAACTCAGTGTAGTCGACTACTAGGCCTAGTAGTCGACTACCAAGGTTGTTACCTGAATTTTTGTTTTGTATCTGTTTGAGATATGTTTGCGGGTTTCGAGTCACACTTCTTTATATGTAAATTCACGAATAGTGTGGTAGCACATACATGTGTATGTTGAAAGGAATTATGATGGGTTTTGACCCGATTACTTTGAGAAAGAGTTTAGTACATATTATACACACACCTTTTGGATGTCATTGATGAGCTCAGTTCAGTATTACGGGGGTAGTGCGTTGATATTCCATTAGTACAGGCTATTGAGTCGGGTTTAGGATGCTTTATCTAGCAGTCCCTCCCGCACTAGGGTGCGATGAGGCTTGTGAGCCATAATTTTAGGATGCCTACTTGGTAGCCCGTCCCGCACTCGTGTTACGTACAGAGATGGGATAAGTCTAATGAGCCGTGTACACTGTTAGGATACTGATTGGGTAGTCCATCCCGCATGATGATGTGATGAATCAGAATCTTGCAAGGATTTGCATTGGGACGATTGTTGATAGCCTGAGTCTTTGGCGGATGTGTAAAACCCCGAAAATTTGAATATAGAGTGATAAATAATTATAAATATGTTATATGACGAAAATAATGTATTTTGATGTTTGAGTATGATAGGAATTGATTTGAGATTAATTTAATGTATATTTGTGAATATATGAGTGTAAATACACAAAACATGCACAAAGGCAAATAGTGATAATCTGAGATTTTTAACCCGTTGAGAGTTTCTATGTTTTTCATACTGATTTAGTTAGAATCTGGAAAAGTGTATAAGACCAAAGTTGTAGATATCTTCAATAGCTTTCCAACGAATCTTAGATCACCTCATTCCGAGATCATATGAGAAAGTTACAACCTTTTTACCGAACCCCAGTCTAAGTATGGCCCAGAACCCTGCGCAGTCGACCGCCGTGGTCGCTGCGGTCGACCGCGCAGCGAACCTGGTTCTGCCAGTTCAGTTTCGGGTCAGGTTTTGTTTATACCAAACCCGGTTGTTACCCTACTTATATATACTCGTTTTGAAGCTCTCAGAACCCTCTTTCAAACCCTAATAGCCTCAGCCCCCCTTCTCTCTCTCCTCTAAAACCCTAGCTCGGATTTTGGCGTTTTTAGGACGTTTCGAAGGATTTCGGTGGGGTTTCGCGATTCAGATTGAAGGAGGATCGTTTTTTGGGTGTTCATCAACCCACCTCAGGCGAGTGACATCGCCCCCAGCCCTTCACCCACGTTTTTATGGGTTTTCTAATGATTTTTAATAAGTTTCTTGAGCCTAAATCATTATTTTGTGTAGATAGATGGATCTTTATGATATGAGATGTAAGAATCAAGTATTTTAGTTTTCAAATGCTCACCAACGATTTTGGTTAAAGAGATCTGATCTGAAATTTATATATTTTTTGAAATCTGAGTTTTGATGCAAGTTTACTGTTTTCACAACGCTTCGATATGCATAAACATGTCTAGGGATTAAATGGTAGATCTTATAGAATAGTTTCTTTTTGTTGTCTTCTATGGTTTATGCATTATTTAACATTGTTTAAATTATGTTTATACAGCACTTGTACATGTTTAGGATTTAATTATTTGAGTCAATGCATCAGTACGTGAAATAGACAGAGAACTTGTAAATAACTCTCTGCCTATTTCGCGGTCGACCGCGGTGGACGCAGCGGTCGACCGCTTGGCGTGCAGCAGGGCAGAGGTTGTCTGCCTTATGTGCGGTCGACCGCGGTGGGCGCGGCGGTCGACCGCGAGGCATTTTTGTTGAGCAGTCAGTTCTGCTCTTGGCGCGGTCGACCAGAGTGACCTCTGCGGTCGACCGCCGCACAGTTTGTGCACGTTTGAGTTTCGTTGTGTATTTTTGCGTGTACGAGGAGTTGCCTCGATTATCTGGTACTAGAATTCAGTGATTAACTAATCATTTATACATGTTAGATGAATTGAGGGCACCAGTTTAGATCCGCACACCGAGACACGTGTGAAATTAGTATATGTATATCTTTTCACTCGTGTTGGACACTCATTCCAGTTAGTCCTCGTGTTGGACACTCATTCCAGTTAGTCCTCGTGTTGGAC